TTACAGGGGTTTGTATTTTTTATGTTTTGTATTTGTACTGTTTTTAATACGCTGTGCACCGCCCTGAGTCCTGCGGGAGAAGGGCGGTATATAAATTAAATTATAATAATAATAATAATAAAAGCTAAAGTTCCTCCAAGCATCTTGGGACGTTTGGAAGCATAAGTATTGTGGGGATAAAAGAAGATAAGCAAAATATCACCTCTGTTTCCATTGATGGAAATTTCCTGTGTAAGAAAAAAAGCCTTTCTTTGGTAGAGAAACATAATGCCTACAGTTCATGGTGTTATTCTCCCCTCACCCCAAACCTCATAATACTGGCAATACAATGTTTGATATTTTGATATTTTTTTTCAAAATTAACTGCACTTTGCAATCTGTGTTAGCAGTCTGTTTTGAAGATAAATGTATCTTCAAAAAGATAGATGATTGAGAAGGCTTTTGAAGAGGTTTATTTATATAAAGTAGGGTAATAGTAGACGCTGAAAAGGAAAGGGAAATGCAAAGTTTGTTTTCTTTTCATTTGCTACAGCAAATTAGATGCTTTTATGCTCTTTATTTGGAAATTCCATGTTAACGACTACAGATTAGCAAGGATGTCAATTTTTTTACTTATCTGAGCTCCTGAGTAAACTTAACATTGCCAGCGGCTCATGTCTAAGGTATGGTCTAAATTTACATGAAATATCACATTACAAACGTCTGAAGGTACATGTCATGGATAATTCAGTTCATATGGGCAGGTTTTTAGACTCTGAAGGATATGCAATCAAGACTGTCCCCAGAGGAATTATGTCTTTGTGAAAAATTTGCTTTAAGCTTTACAGGAACTCCTGTAGGGATACTGCATTATTCGACACTGAGAAACTACTTTTCTTTTTATATTTTGATTACTATTGTCCTTTTACAATAGCTTTCTTTCATGTGTATTAACACTCTGCATTTCCCAAATATGAGGCTGAGGTTCTACTTAGATTGATTTGGTCTGCAGTGTCCTTAGAAAATTTATAATAAATAACAATATATTTAATACACTTGAATTGGGTTAATTTTCAGGGGTGGGTGAGATTAAGATGGTGATTTGGACAAGATCTGTCCTTTATTAACTAGTCTTTGTTTGCTATAGTCTAGTTTTATATGTCACAGCTGTGATACTGTTTTGTAGCAAATTCCTCAAATAAACCAGGACATTTCCTCTAATGTTTGGTTTTCCTTTTTAAAAGCATATTTGATATTCATTAATATTTCTTTTCTTCTTTGCTTTAAGAACCACAATAGATTCTAAGTATTTCCAGATTGTTGTAAAATTTTCCTGTTAAGAGTAGTGATATATTCAAATATAATCATGCTATTTCAAATGGGTCTTCATCTTTCCATTGAAAATAAAAACATTAAAATAAAACATTTTTCCTCTATTAGATCCATTAGTGACAAAAGTAAAGGATGTATCGGGCTTAAAGTGTAGAGTGATTCTGTTTGGAGATGCTAAAATACATTTACAACATTTTATACCTGTTGTTCTGATTAACAAAAAGGCACTTTCTTGCTGTGGTAACATAACATTTATATTCAGTGAAACTTTTTAGTAAAGAAACAACACTAAAGGGAAAAAATTACAGTTCCAATGTTAGAATAAGTTTACTTTCATATATATTTTTAATATAAGATCACTCTTGAAATGTTACTTGGGGATTTATGAAGTTTGATTTCTAATCAAAATATTAATAGATAGGAATTAGTATGAGATTCATAAGAAATGAATGTAAAAAAACTCCACTATATTATATTTTTTAACCCTTATTCTAAAGCTGGGGGTAATACTTGAAAGAAATACACATAATAATCTGTTTGGATAGTAACTTTAATATATTGATATATTGACTCAATAATATATTGAATTAATTTGAGACAGTTGCTGGTTGAATATACTTTTTAAAAAATATTCAAGGTTATCATAATTAAATTAAAAATAAATAATTCCTGTCCCCAAACTAATAACAGATGTATAAAGTCGTTCCACATAGTTATAAAGGTACACAACTAACATAAGTCATTTTCTCATGGCATCTATATTCAAGAGAGCTTCAGAGTTGAAGCTTGACTTCTTGTTTATAGCGTTACTCCTTAATACCCCAATATGATGGAAGAGATAGAAGAAGAGAATGCTTTATGATAGCTTGTATTGTTATGCTAGCTGTGATTTTTCTCTGATAAGGGATGACCTAATCATTATGCTTCATGCATCCGGATTAGATTATTGTGAGGCATGGTATATAACAGTCTTACAAACATGAGTTAATTGTGAAATTGGCAGATGGCTATTGATTTGTCCGAAACTGAGGCATCATTTGTAGTATTTTAAGCAATGCAACTATTAGTTGACATTTGAACCAAATACAGAGTTTAACGAATTGCATGCTGAATAATTCAACTCCCCCCCATTTTTTTTCATCATGGTATTTCAAGAACTGTCCGGAGATGAAACCAATAACCATGGTGGGCATCTTAAGAGCTGTATGTAATACTTACAGATCCCAGCAGCTATGCTGAATTTGCAACAGATTCCATCATCCCTATCCAGACAAGAAGTCTCCCATATCTAGACCTCAAGAATACCATTAAATGGGGGTAAAACAGGGAGACACAGATTATTTATTTATTTTTTATTTTCCGAATTCAAAGTATCTTACATTAAAAAGAGAAATATAATATAATATTTAAAATTAGTGTAATAATCTAAATAAGGAAAACTTTCAATAACTACATGACAAATATAAAAATTAAAACACAGAAGGAATTTAAAAGGACTTATGTAACATTATATAGGATTTGAGGCCCAAAAAGTGGTGGCCCAAAAAGTGGTAGCTTTATCATTGGCCAGGAACATTGTGCATGATCCATCAAGATTATGGCATATCAATAAGTGTTTAGGACAAGGGAGAGAGAAATAGGAAAAGGTTCCCGGAGAAGCAAAACATTTTCAAAGGACAAAAAAAAACAACCCAAGAAAATCCTTGGAAAAAGTACCTTAAGACAATCTGGCTATAGCAGATCAAGGATGAACTGTTGAAAATATATCTTCTTTTTTTCCCCAGACTTCTAGTCTATTATTTTCTTGATTCCTCTCAACTCTTGGCTAGCTGGTTCCATATAAGTGGGATTTGTAATTCTTGTGACATTTGAGTGTGACTTGCATTTGGACTTCCCTATTTACTTGCTCTTTGGACACTGTCAGTGAACTTGCTTTTGGTTCTAACCTTGGACTATATTTATGACCATGAAATTATTTTGACGTATTTAGTGTGCTAATAACCCAGATAAGGAGCTGCTATTCATGAGGCCAGGACTCACATAAACCTATCTGTCAGGAGGAATTGCAATGATGGAACTGGCTCCTGATCTATTAGTATCTTGTTCCTTACTGTGTTTTAAGTGATGATGTGGGGAAAAGAAAACAGTTGTAAATGACATATTTTAAATATTTTGGGAATGTCATTAGAGGTTAGCAGATTAGTTAAAAACATGGAATCAAATACTACCTCTTAATCCAATGGTATATTCTCTAGCCCATCGTATAGTAATCATTCCATCTCTGCAAACAGAAATAGTCTTGGAGTTGGTGTTGAGACAGCCTGAGATTCTTTTTTGTTTGTTTGTTTTTAAATTCAACAGCAAGAAATACATCCTCTTTTGTATGTTCTGCCTTAGGAATTTGAGATTATCACATTGATCTAATGTTGTTCATAATATGCCCAAAATCTATTGAAATACTTTTAATTAAAATATGGTTAGAAAAACCCATATTATGGCTTATTATTATATTATAATAATATAATATTATATATTATATTAAACCTTCAGAAGACTGGAAATACCAATTATCTTAAGAGTTTTTAACCTCTTCATTAAAAAAGAGCTAGGTGAAGAGCAATTATTGTCATATCCTTGCTATTTAGAAGGATTTAGGATGTCGTCAATATCTACAATTCTATGAACTGGTTTATAAATAAACCAAGCTGACTTATGTGTTCCACTCTAATGCATTTCTCTCAGGGGTTATAAGAAAATCAGAACATTCCAATTCCATTTTTAAATTAAACACAATTTAGGTTTTATCTGAATCCTCAGCTTAAATTTAGATTAAATTTAAGTATGATTAGTTGGCTTATTTGTACCAACTATATGGCATCTCTTTGTTGGGATCAAATGACATGACTAGCTTGCAAACCTCTACTGACCGCACTAGAGAATGATTCATAGCACTAAACCATAATTTAAATTACCCTATATGTTATTGTTTTCTTGTAAACTTTTGTAAGAAAGGAAAACAGTCAAGGAGAAAAATATGTTTCTTAAAGAGAACATATACTTAGATATTTCTCCTCTGCTTTGCAAAACCAGCAAGAAGCCAGCAAAATATTCATCAAATCAAGATGGCAGGAAGACAAAGCTTAGAGTTTAAATATTGGATCATAGTTGTACATATAAGCCCTGCCTTTGTCAGCATTAAAGTCTATAATCTAAATAAGTCTTATTTGACAGTCTTCTACCAAGCCTAATCAAGTTCTGACGAAGAGATTAAATTTTTAAAGGATCACCATCTACTGTCAAGCCTGGTTATGGAAACTGAATAGAGTGTAATTTTATCATTTTTAGAATTTCATGCAAAACTGAACTATTAAAACATATAAAGAATGTATTTGTTTTCTAAAATATTTATAAAATGTATGGTTTAAAATGTTATTATTTGAAAATTCAGCAGCAAAGTTTTGTATTGATAATCAAAAGAAAATTTCACAAGTGGGTCTATTATTTTGGATTTAAATATCTGATGCCCTTGAACAATGCACATTACTGTATTACATTTCAATAAACTATAGTGGCTAGAAAAAAATAATGTAAATCAAAGTTCTGAATATTTTAAATTAATAAAAATAGTTACATTTTCAGAAGAATTGCCACTTTCTAAAATGTGGGGTTTTTTTCCTCCTCTCCTTTAGGAATGGCAAAATTCTATTCAGAAGAATGCTGGACTTGCTTTTATTGAGCTCATCAATGAAGGAAGGTAATTAATTTAAAATCTTTGAACCAGTAGTCATTTTGCATTTAATTCCATTAGACAATAATGTCTTCACCATCTGCTACACAAATACCAGAGAATGAAATATTTTAATTAGACAGGTTTACAGTAGAGATGTTTGGCATAAAAATACTCAACTCGTTTATACGTGAAATGTAGAAACGATGAACTCTTATGTTTATTTTTTTAGAATACCTATGCAATAGTTATAAGATTTATCTGAGAATTGCACATCATCTTACAAGGGCAACACAGCATTTTTTTTCCAGACAGAATCTGAGTAACCCAATCTCTAATCCATCTGTCACTCCATCTGCTTTGGAGCATTCTGTTCATAGTGTTTTTATGCAGTAAGGAGGAAGTGCTATTTTTATCATAATTCCCAATGCTATTTTCAGGTACTTTAATATCAGATTGAAATTTTATGTGTGCTGTGGTATTATGGAAAGAGTTAACATTCTGAATGCAGTTTAGTTCTGATAGTTTTGTTTATAAGACTGTGACAATTATACTCTCAACATAATAAGTTTAGTGTTGCTGCTATTATTAAGGAAAAAGTAAAATTATCCTTTTTAAGCTTAATAAGAATTATTTAAATATTAGTAATCATCTACAGCATTTTTGTTTATTTGTTCCACTAATATATTATTTGCATCATATGTAGAAGTGAAACAAATGGTAGCAGCTGTTTTGAGAATTTCTAAAAACCTCTGCTGTCTATTTTCTGTAACTGTTAAAATAGTATTTGCAATTATAAAATGATAAGATTCCAATTCATGAAACAATATGCTAGAAATATGTTAATTTATAACAGTAGTCTTTCTGATAGTATATTTAGTAATATTCCTGCACGATTCACTCAGAAAGAGATATGCATTTATTTTATTTTAATTGTGAGGAAATATGAATAATCTTTTTGTGCAAATTTTTTAATTTGATTTTTGAGTGAAGATGTAATACAGGTTTCCTGTGCTAATATCTATATGTTTTAAGTAGTAATATTTGTGGTAGAAATCAGCAGCCACAACTGAGGTTAATATGATTAGGAATATTTGGACATCAGAGCAGAATGTACATTAATTAAAAAAGAAATCTGTTTTTCTTGTTCCTAAAATGTAAAGGTTTCTAACATTTGTTATACAGATGTTTTTCTGACTATAGAATATATGTTAGAAAATTGACTACAATTTTATGTGCACTGAACAAATCTCAGTTTTGTATTCCTTCTTTAAAATGCTAATAGTGTTCTTCTGATCAAGCAATAATTACAGCAATAATATTCTTTCTTTTGCTGACTTTTCTACATACACTCTATATTTATATTTATATCTCTCTATATTTATATCAATAACTACTGCGTATATCATCTATATCTATACATCTCTATAGATATCTAGATATAGATACATACCTCATTTGCTTATGTACAGTACATTGTTAAAATGCATGCTTCCTTCTATCCTAAATTTTATTTTACTCTGCAAAAAGCAAATTATTATGAATATTATGCTTCTTAATAGGTGAAGTTTGAATGCTATTCATCAATCATAGCTAGAGAATGCAATTGTGCTGTTGTCAACAATTAACAGGACATAAACAGTTGATGAATGTGTACTTGAATTAAAGTGCTCCCTTGAACAGCCTGAAATTATAAAGCAGATCATTTATAGGAATCTAACAAAGGAGCTTTATAATTAAAACAAAACAAGCTTAATGGATTGTAAAATTGTTTATAATTACTATACAATTATGATTGAATTTTAAATTGTGGATTGAAGAACAGTGAAAAAGAATTTGAGAACTAGAGAACTACATTTTTGTTTTTAAAATACTGAAAGAAGTTCCATAATTCATGATGATTCTTGAAAAAAAAAATTATTAAACACAATACCCAGATTAAAACACAACTTTCAGCAGCGTGTTTAATAAAATTAATGAAAGGTGGGCAGCTATACAAATCTTTTTGAATAAATAAGTAAATATGAATACAATTAAATTAAAAGTCATTACAAAGAATGCCAGAAATAAATAGATGGTTAAAACTTACAATTAAATATGAAATCACTTCTATGGCTAGCCTAAAAAACAACTATTTTACTTGTCTCCAAAGTTCAGCATGCATAATGCAATTTCTTTAATGCAAATCTCAATACCATTTTAAAATTGCTCTCTATCTTCAGTTTCAAAATGGTACTGCCATGTATCGTGAGAGCCAGTTTGGTTCAATGATTAAGGCATCAGGCTAGAAATTGGGTATTCAAGTCCCCGCCTTAGGAAAGGGGCAATGGCAAACCAGTTCTGAAAAAGCCTTGCCAAGAAAACTGTAAGAATTTGTCTTGGTAGTCACCAGAAGTCACATCGACCCAAAACACATATCCAAATCTTTCTGTGTGAGAGTATGAGCAAGATGTGTAGTTTCACAACTTAAGGCTTTTATGAACGGATAAGTAATGCTAATCAGTATGGATGGTTAGAATGTAAAGGACTACTTACAATGCAATCCTATACGAATGGAAGTTTCTTAAAATTCAGTGATCCTTACTCAGAGTTCTGGGATGTCACCAGGTTTAGACTCTGGGGAGAGCGAGAGCCTAAATGAAAGCCAGGGCTAGATTTCAGGGTTTTGGTTTTTGGGGATATCTCTGTCCCTGATAAGAACTGGAGGAACACCTGGGAAGTGAGTGAGAGGCCAAGTAGGTAATGTGTAATTTGTTGAGCAGGATAAATTCAGGAAAGCTCTGAAGACCTGCCTGTTCCATCTTGCAAAGGAGAGAGTACTCTTTGACTGAAAGGGGAATCGCTGATGTGTGGTATCTGTATTCTTGGCATTTATCTTTTTTTATCCTTCCATATTAAACTGGCCTTTTTCTGGCTCTGCAGTGCTTTATTTGAAATTGAAACAACATAGGCAATTTCTTTCACTCTACAGGATTGGAATTGCTCTGTGTTTTCTCATCAGCAAAAAGTAGTACCTTTCCCTATGCTCTGAGTTCAAGCAAAACATTTCTTTTTGAGGTAGTAGCTAAAAAAATGAAGCAGAAACAACAGTAGCAATCACCTGGCATCTGTAGAAGACAAAAAACAAAATAGAAAAATATTCATACCTGATGAAATTGTCTGAGCTATAATGTCCATGGAAAGAATTGCAAGTATGTATAGTCAAAATTGTTGCTGCGTATTAAAGTAGAAATTCTGTCAGCATTATCTGGTTACCAGGCTTTAAACATCCTAATTTATAGAATAATCTTTAAATGCTGCCAAAAATATGTTTGGGTGAATTGAATCATACGTACAATGGTATTTTCCAATTAAATACCAGTTAACACAGGTAAAATGCAGAACAAATTTAGATAATTTCTTTGTGGAATAAATACAACAAATCTAATTATTTTAGATGGGCAAATGAGTAATCCAATTCAAAATATAAAATAAAGAATAGATGCTAAGTAAAAAGGAGACATAAAAAGATGTAAGAATGGTAAAGCTCCAGTTTCATGGCAGAAATCCTCCCTTCAGACCTAAGAGAGAGATCAAAAGATTGCCTTTCCTAAATACCCAGTTGGGCTAATCTAGAAAGTAGTTGGAGAGCACAAATAAATTCAATTTAAGTTACAATATAATAAAAATATATATCTCAAATGGATGACTGCAACACCACAAAATACACAGAAGCTTATCATTTTGAAAATAACTGGGAAATTTAGCACTTTGGCTCTGTCTGGGAAACATCAAGAAAACTATTCTGTCTGGTTTACAGGAATTTTATCTTTCTGAAACTACCAACACTACTATAAATACAGTGATTTGGGACTTCAATATCTAAATATATAATATCTACAGGTTTGTTTGGAAAGTTTGATAGGAAGAACAGCAGTTTCTTTCTTCACTTCATTCTGCTTGGTTAAGTTTATAAGATTACCCAAACAGTAGACGGGTGAATGTGCATTTGCGGGCCTTGGCAGATTGTAGTTACATGCGTCTAAAAGTCACAAAAAAGAAAACAAAGTCTAGATCATGACTTAATTGGCTTTATCCCACTAGAACAAAAATACATAATAAAAGAATGATGATATGTGGAAAATCAAAAATATAAATATTCAAAACTAGCTTGGCTTGATTAACCTAGGACCTGAGAAATACATTATTTGACTGAATTAGCACATGACTAAGAATAAAGTTATTCTTAAAGACATGCTTATTACACCTCAGGTATTCAGAAAACTGCACAAATTCAATTAAGATTTAAAAGCATCCATTCCTTCCCTTTCCAGAAAGAACATTCATATGTTTAGTGAGAAATTACTTTTTAAACTGCAAGCCTCACACTTAGAATCAATTCTTTTATTTTTTATTTTTTCCATCTGAAGACAACCTCAAACAGCTTGATTAAGGAAGGAAACTAGGTTCCTGGTACTAAATTTCTTTGTGGGGCTGGGTTTGAAATTCATAGTAATTCTGTGAAGGTCTTTTTCACATTTGATCACTTTAGCTGCTCAGAATCATTGTGAGTTGGATGGCATATATATCTGTATAATAAGTAGTTAATTGGACTATATGGACTGTATTAGACATATGGATGACTATCAAGTATACTTTATACTTGTATAGAATCTGTCTACAGAAGTTCATTGCCTTCCTTCTGCCACTCAGATTGAAATGTCATTATAAAGTAATGAGGGGAAATCTATCCCTGAGGTCACATACAACCTTTGAAATTCTATTTGTGATTTTTTAATCCCTCTCCAATTAAAATTACAGAAAACCTAGGATCCTGTTTTTGTTTTATTTTTTGTGTTTTTTTTAGTTAGAAACGCATGACATGAAAATGACTGCATAAACTGAAACGTAGAAGTTCCATAGTTAGCGAAAATAAAGTGAATCTTATCTAGGTTACATTTTTTTAAAAAAAGAAGACCCCAATTGGTCACATATATGATATTTAAGTGATATAATAAGTGCACCCACTTTGGCACTCCATCTCTTAAATGTTCAGTGAGATTTCGGCCACCTCTTTTTAAAGAAAATAAATAATAAATCATCGGTTCAATCTGTCTGCAAAACTGTATTAAATGATTCAGATATAAGTATTCTTCCACATCATCAAATTCATTAAAAACTAGGTATTTTATTGTAAAGATTTCTGGAAGACACCTTACAATTCATGTGTCAAGACTAATTTGGTTGTAACATATCTGAGATCCTTTCTTGATGAAGAAAACATGCACTGAGTGATTTGCCTTACTGAGAAGTCAGAAACAAGCCATTAAGAGCTGATATGATTCATTGTAATAGTCAGTATACCTTATGAAGAAGAAACCGCCAAGAAGAGAACATTTTTTTAATCTACAAAGAAGAATTTCCAAAACTATTTGCATTTGAAGGAGCAATATAAAAATAAGACCTCTAAAAGAGTTATTGTTTAAAATCTGCTGAAACCTGTGATAACATGTTTATTGTATTCAGTTAGATCAGACATACTATAATATTAACTCGTATATGTCAACTAAGTAATAGTTTGTTTAAAAAAATAAAGAATAATCATTCGTTGATTAGATTACGCTTTTTATGTATGTGGACTTTTCACAAAGTTTTTACAGCTCAACTTGTCTCTAATGAGCCTAGATTTAAGTTAGGAAAGTAAAGCAGTGGTCTTTTGGGTTATTGGGAATGTTTAGAACTTTGAGAGTGTCTTTTGGGGACTCTCACATAATGGTTATCATGACTGATGTAGCCACTTAGAAAAGTACTGGATTTTAGCCAGCCAACATCTAAAAATCTTGCTTGGATCTCAGTAGAACCCAAATACATTGCTGATAATGCAGTTTATTTTCATGCAGAAGCTTTGCTTTTCATATTCTTTTTATCGATATTATCCTAAAAAGTAAAATTGGGGAGGGGAGAGATCTTAATCAGGGTCAAGCAATACACTAATGGGCCATTTTCACTGCTGCGTGCTATTTTACAAGCCCAGGGTACATTGGTTGCTTTCTTGAGTTAAAAATTGCAAAAAAGCCCAACCTTTTAAACTTATTAGGCCATTAGGATATGGATAAAAATTGCTTCAGAGCAACTTTAGTTGTTTTGACCAAGCAAATAATACATTATTTTTCTCTTAATGTATGCAAATGGATTGGTGATTAATGCAATGTCTATCATTCTTTAATAAAATTGTATCATGTCTGAGATCAATTCACTTTTTCCTCTAGATTATTGTGTCATGCAATGAAGGATCACATTGTAAGAGTTGCAAATGAGGCAGAGTTTATTTTGAACAGACAAAGAGCTGAAGATGTACACAAACATGCAGAATTTGAGGTAAGCCTCGCAGTTGTTAAAACCCTGAATTTCTGTTTTCACCTAACTTGCCACCATCTGAGAAATATATTTTGAAAGGAAAACTTAGATTATTGTCACTCAAAATTTATATTCATTTTTAATAGAAATAACACATATTCATTTAAACTCTATAGAAATAAATAGTATTATATTTAGAATTTTCTTTATTCACATTTTTAAAAGTAACAGTATTGTTCTGGTATTGCTGATGTGGATTACCAATTCCATTACAGTTTAAATGTAAAATTTATTCTTAGGATTGTCTGAAATTTCTGCTGTGTTATTTTGATGGTGGTAAAGGATATTTTATTTATTTATTTGTATCCTATCTTTATTATTTTTACAATTAACTCAAAGCAGTGAACATATCCAACATACCTTCCTTCTCCTATTCTCCCCACAACAACAACTCTGGGAGATAACTTGGGCTGTGAGAAAGTGACTGGCCCAAAGTCACTCAGCTAGTTTTTCATGGCTAAGGCGGGAATATAATTTTTTTATTGGGAAGGATGAGCAGAGAATTCCAGGAGTATATACTGAGAATACATACACTCAGCAGTGTGCGTGTGTGATTGTGATTGTGTGTGGGAGGTGTGTGTGTGTGTGTACATACATACTTACATACTCTCAGCAGAGTCCTACAAGGTATGAAGATCATCCTAGCTGCCTGCTTCAGGCAAGTACACATCTAAATTGGACACCAGTTTTATAGGAGAATATTAGAGGTGGAACATACAGAAAATAGATCATTTTATACCATGTGCGAAAAAGCAGTGGCAAACTGCTCCTATATTTTACCAAGAAAGCCACATTAATAGACTAGCTTACTACTGAAAAAAGCTGAGGTCCTTTTGGAATATAATGGTGTTTATGATGTGGCTAGTTTAAAGTCTTCCAGATGTCTAGTTGCTGAGGTTTCCATGCAGGAAAAGAAACCCAAAGCTGCAATGATAGAATTACAGTGGGAACCTGAAATATAAGCATAAACTTGAGAAAGTTCAACATAGTAAAAGGTGAAATGAATTGAGTACACATTGATATCTTAGACACTAGCAAACTGAAATGGATATTGGACACTTCCAGTATTCCTGTTTACTGCTTAGGACATTAACAACAAGGAACAGTATATTCAGCAAGGGCATAGCAAGAATAGTATTTGGCTACAATGCTATCAATAACTGAACAGTAACAATTAGACTTCATGGGCAATCCTTTAATACGACAGACAATCTTGCTACTTTTATTTTTTTGGCACAAATTAAAAACAGATCTTTGACTTACATTTTATTCATGTATGTATATGTATATATTATTTATGTACAGAGAGAGAGAGAGAGAGAGAGAGAGAGAAAGAGAGAGAGAGAGAGAGAGAGAGAGAGAGAGAGAGAGAGAGAGAGAGAGAGAGAGAGAGAGAGCCTTCCAAACATAGAATCTTACCAAACATATTCTAAATATTTTGACTTTAAATTTTAAAGATCACATTTGCAATTAAGTGTATGTCACACTGAAGTTTCATACAGCTTCAGTGGTAAATAACATTTGATATTTATCACAGCATTCTCAGTAAACTTAAGATGACAGTAGAAGATTGAGTTATCTGCCCTTTGAAGAATTTATTGCAGAATAAGATCTGTCAGAAACGTAGACAAAATGAGAATATTCAATTAGATTCCAGCTTCAGTTAGCAAACACAATTTAGAATATTAACCAAATTCCCTTAAGGGGAAATCTTAAGCCAATTTTCTAGTAAGCAAACAAAGACATTTCTGAGACATGGATTTCTTTAAAAATCTAAGTCCTTAACTTTTAAAAATATTACTATTGTATAACAAATAAAAATAGCTTTTTATAAAATTAAAAATATAATTTTATATGAATACCAAATCTTTTGAATCACTCATCACAATCCCTTGACCTCAAAAAAACAAAACAAAAAACTGCTCCACAGAAAAATGTCTGTTGAAAGCAGAATTCTTAAATATCTTGATACACATGGAAAAGTGTAAGTGAGTTTATTAACAATTTATGAATTCTTGTCTAAAGTTACAGAAGTTTAATTAAAAGAATGCATGAATATCTTTATTATGGTCACTGATCAGTATTGCAAACAAAAACACATTAAAACAGGCATGTCAAACTGCCGGCCCATGGGCTGGATGGGTCACACCGAAGCCGCGCCCACCCCATTGCCAGCAATGCGGAAAAAGTCTCAATACATCGTGCAACGTCACATGACGTTGCGAGTTTGATATGCCTGTATTAAAAAGAAAGCAAGATAAAATGTTAAAATTGGTAGGTTCGTGAATGGATTGTAGAAGTCTAAATAATTTTACTGGCAAAATTTAACTATGTTCAAGATGATTGAATCATACTTATCTGATAACAATAGGATAAAAAGATCAGATTTGTCTGGGTGTTTTACCAGATTAGAAATTATAAGGCACATCCTTGAGTCCTTATAGAGAGTCCTATATAGTAGAACATGAGCTGTAGTTTCCACAGCCTCTTCTCCACAGGCACACAGTCTCAGTTGATAATGGACTCTTTTATGTTGACCTCCCAAAACTGCTGTGGGAAAGCATTAAACCATGCTAAAGCTAGTGCTCTTCAGAATTTGAAAACAAGTTTATATGGTATAACTATATAGCAATAGCACTTAGACTTATATACCACTTCATAGTGCATTACAGCCTTTTCTAAGTGGTTTACAGAGTCAGCATATTTTCCCCAACAATCTGGGTCCTCATTTTACCAACCTCCAAAGGATGGAAGGCTGACTAACCTTGACACGGTCAGGATTGAACTGCTGGCAGTCGACAGAATTAGCCTGTAGTATTGCATTCTAATCACTGCGCCACCATGGCTCTATATATCCTATATATATCCTGCCTTTATTATTATTTTTACAAATATCTCAAGATGGCAAACATCCAATACACTTTCCTTCTCCTATTTTCCCCACAACAACCTGTAAGGTGGGTTGGCTTGAGAGAGAGAGAGAGTGGCTCAAGGTCAATCAGTTGACTTTCCTGGCCAAGGCAGGACATGAACATCTCCCTCTTGAAAACTACATTTGGAACACAAGGGCTACCTAGAATATAGTCCTTAGGAATTTAGATTGGACCCTTTCAAGAGGAGTAAAGGAAATGAACGGTCCTAGCTGGCTGCTGGAAAGCAGTTGTTCATAAACCTTAATATAGATTGGGTGCTGCTGTGGTATGCTGTGCTCTTTTAGTAAAGTGAAAAGATTGAATTATAAATTGTGTTTATTAATATCATGTTATCTGCTTGTTGCACAAGCAATGCAGCTGCTGAACAAACAGCAGCCTTCTTGGGAGGGAGGTTATCCTCTATCAGGGAAGAAGAAAGTTCTACAAGCTGTAAACTTTTCATTTCTGCCTGTAGATCCCATTTCAAAGGCCACAACTGGAATGGGAATTTCTATCACTAAGCTGTTGTTAATTGAGAATCATGAGTTGTTAAGCGACTACCCTCCCAATCCAAACCATTCTTGGTCCATCCCAGCAAAAGCCTCAGTAAGGAAAGAGAACTGTCTCCAACTCCCCCCACCTGCCTATCTCCCCTTATCTCTGCCCTTTTTGCTGCCCTTTTTGCTGCCTTATAAGGCAGTAAGGAACCCCAGAATCATGAGACTCTGGGACTGTTTGCTATGCCCAGGGAAGCTGCAACTGCAAAAGCAGCCCCAGAGAACTATGGGGCACCAAAAAGCCCTATTGTGCCACCAGTCCAGCTCCAGCCCGATTCAGAAGCATGGAACAAATGGTCTTTTTTGGGCACCATGGCTCTAAACCTGCTTTTGGCTATTTTTTTTTCCTTTGCAACACAAAAGCCCAGCCACAGTATAGAATTTTGATCTGCAGAATTTTGACCACATGATTGCAGGGATGCTGCAACAGTTGTAATTAGAAATATAAACATAAATATAAAGAAATGTCAATATAAAAAAATTAAAATAGCAAGTTGAAAGATAAAATAGAATAAAATAGCATAGATTCAGAGCTGCTTGCCCATTGTCATCATTAGAATATCCTGTTCCCCCTCCCATATTTCAAAACTTCTTTAATATAAGAAGGATAAGAAAACTTTATTTCATCATTAGTCCATTTTTTTCTAAAAAGCCTATTTCACAGTTAATATCCATTCATTCTGTTAACTTCTATAATTGCTCAGAATGAAAAATGAAAATTTGATTTAACTGTCCAATAAGCTGATGAAATATTATCCTCATTACTGAACAGTACTATTGTACTAATTGGTGTTTCTTTCTACAAATAGGTAAATTGAAAAATTAATTAACCCCTTAATGTCTATGATCTTAAAATACATTTAACTAAAATATATGCCTATCCTAATGGAGAAATGTGCAATGATTTTACATTGTGCATACATGCAGTTTTTATGCCTTTTCATATTAGGCAATAAAATAAACTCCAAATTATTATGAATACAGTCCCAAATGATATCAAACAGATGGGGAATGCTTTGAGACACATTCTCAAAAGGGTCATAGGCTGACAATAATCCCGTTTTTTCTCACCTCTTTCTTTATGCCCCCATTTCCCCCCTCAAATTCTCACATGTCTATTGAGTACAATTCATTCTTCTATAGATTTGAAATGTAATGGCAAAGTATCTTTTACATTATATCAAGATTTACTTCTGTCACCTACAATACAATTTGTTCACCCTGTTTGCAACTCTATACATTATAATGTTAATTCATTTCAATGTTATCCACAAAGCTGCAGTAATTGATGAAATACTAGCACAACTGCTTAAAAGTCTAACAGGATGGTGCAGTTAAACTGCTACACATGATTGATAAGCAGGTACCAAAAATAATTACAGCTGTGGCCAAGATCTATTTATATTCTAATTCCAATATGTGGTCAAGACTAAAGAATGTTCAAACTACTGAATAAATGCACTTATTTTACATGTTAGTAACATAATACTTAAGATGGGAAGTCCAGACTTTAACAATATTGCAATATTGGGAACAGGAACTGATAGATATATAGGTTTGATTCAAAAGAGACATGGATATTGCTAACATTTAGAAGTTATAGGAAAGGCAAAGAAGTTCCCCCAAAAAACAAGTACAGGTAGTCCTTGACTTATGACCACAATTGAGCCCAAAATTTATGTTCCTAAGTGAGACAGTTGTTAAGTGTATTTTGCCCCATTTTATGACCTTTCTTCCCACAGTTCTTAAATGAATCACTACAATTGTTAAGTTAGTAACATGGTTGTCAAGTGAATCTGTCTTCCCCATTGACTTTGCTTGTCAGAATGTCACAAAAGGTGGGCCCCAGGCAATCCACCTTTTCTATCATGGTACCCACATTTGGAATCTTATCCTAGTGATGAGGTTGGCCTCATCACTCCTAAGGTTTTGAAGGTCTCTCAAGACCTGGTTATGCCAGCAGGAGTGAGAAGTACATGGGATGGGTAACCTAGTGAGGTATCACCCTTAATGTTAATATTTCTCCACCTTTCGGTTTCTTTGTTGTGGTTTTGTTTTATACTTCTTAGTGCTTTTTAATAATTATTATATAATGGTTTTAGATAATGACTGTTTTACATCATTACTGTTTCATTGGATTGTTGTACACTTATTTCTATGTCTTGGGCAGCCATATAAATTTGATAAATAAATAAACAAACACACAAATAAATATCTTTAAGTTTAGGGATAAACAAACTTTATTGTGTACTATGCATAGTTTAACTGATTTTTTTTTTAAAAAGGAAGGTTTAGAGAAAGTAAAACAACCTTAATTTACTTGCCTAATGAAATCATAAACATCATTTCTCTTTTTAGTCTCAATGTGCCCAATATGCTGCTGATAGAAGAGAAGAGGAGAAGATGTGTGATCACCTTATCAGTGCAGCCAAGCATCGTGATCATGTTACAGCAAATCAGCTGAAGCAGAAAATACTGAATATTCTTACTAATAAGCATGGTGCTTGGGGAGCTGTTTCATATAGGTATGTTGTTAATTAATTATTATAGGCATGTTGTTAATTATATACTTCTGATTGGGTATTTTGAATGGATGTGAGCATTTATGATACAAATAACCTGAATCAATTCCTGTTCATGCAATTATTACATTGTAAGCATAGCCCACAACTCAACTGAATTGTCAAGTACTCCTTTAGGTTTCTATGCTTCCTCTTCCTTTTTATGCTATCTTATTTCTTTCTCAGTATTTATACTAACCCAATGAGCTCATTTCTTTCCTCATTTTCTGAGGTGAGAACATGTGATAAGCTTCTTTTGTAAATTTTGGCAAAAGGAAGCAGGATTTACTTCAGACTTGGATATCGTGTGAGTGGTATCAATATAACTAGTGAGCCCAAAGTCTAAAATAGATTGACCATAATTAGAAAATGATAGCCATAACCATAATGATATATGTCAATCTGGAGTAAAATTAAATTAACTTTCTTTGCCAATTTAGGTCAATATTACTTCCCTAGAAATGGATGAGAAAAAATAATGGTAGTAAATAAAGATACTCTTGATTTGAGCTCAGCTTCTTGTGATTGCATCCATTTGGAGTCATTGGTAGCATTCCTCTACATTGTCTTGTTTTTCCCAGGATTTTTTTCCCTCAGCTTCTCAGGGGTAGGCAATAGTCTTAGAATTCTCAAGTGGTCACTTGAAATACTAATCAGGGCTGGATTTGCTTAGTCATAATTGTCTCAGGTGCCACTTCCTGAAGCCCAAATCTATAATTATATAAGCAAAGCTAGATTGATTATTGAGTATGTTTTGAAAATATGTCAGAGTTTTTTGAAAATGGACTATTGGTTGACTTGGTTGACATATATCCTATTAATCCATTATTTTCTTAAGCTTGCACTGCCTTGCACAAATTTGTGGAAATCTGCCTAGGTGATAGGTAAGGAATAGCTTCTTAATTATAGCAACCAAATTTTGTAACACTTTCAAAGGAAAGCTTATCTAGTCTTCCTATTAAGGAAAGTAAATAAAGTCTGCTTTGTTTAACAAGTTTTCAGGAACAGTAGATTGAATTTTGTTTTGTAGTCATTTAATACTTAGCTGTTTTAAGGAATACTGTTTGTATGTATTTATTTTTATTAATTTAATAAATAGAAGTCACACATAAAATTATATTTATGTAAAAATAGGATATAAAAGTATATGTGCAAAGAATTAAAAGATGAGTAAATGTTTAATGGAACATGTTGATTTAAAAAAACAACTCCGCCTTTTAAAAAAAATATGCCTATATTGAATTTGTAATAAGTCCCTCAAAAACTTAAAATTTCTGACAGTGAAACTTCATCACTGCCCTTAGTGTTAAAGAAAGCTTTCTGAAATACAACTGTCTCAGTAGGAAATTTTACCTATGGGGAAAGATAAAATAAATCCAATTTTGATTGCCTTAAAGGGTTATAGCTCTTTATTTATTATGCTGTACAAATAATCAGAGAGTTGCAGCAGAATCAGATGCTATGGTACTTCAATATTTCTTAATGAGTATCACCTTTATTTCTATCATATTTCAGAAATATTCTGGATGTGATATTTTATTTTATTTCTTCTAAACAAAGAAGCAAAAAAAGACATGTTAGTCATACATATATTTCTGGTGAAAGAAAGGAGCGCTTTAATAAAGTGGAAAAGTTTTGATGACAGTATTAATAATAATGTCATCAATATGCAGAAAAACAAAGTTATACTTTTTATTGTAAAGCAGAAATCCTCTATTGCTAATAACTATTGCAAATAACTCAGGCAGTGAGCATATCTAATACTTTCTTATTTTCTGCACCACAACATCCTTGTGAGGTGGGTCGTGCTGGCCCAACATCACCTAACCAGCTTTCATGCCTAAAGTGGAAGTAGAAATCGTGATATCCTGATTTCTAGCCTGATACCTTAATCACTAAACCAAACTAAGTATACTTGAAATAATTTTTCAATTTTTAAAATATTTTAATGTGATCATTCTATTTAAAGTTCTCCTCTTGCTTTTTAAATTTGTTTGTATATTTGATACATGAGATTTTATACACTAAGGTATCTTGTATACTTTTACTGCCTTTTATTGTAACTGTAAATTTAATTCCTTTTAGCCATAGGAGGAATCTTTATAGCCTTAGATAACATAGGTTCAGGACAACAATTTTTCCTGTTTGAAGATATTAATATGTGAATTAAATGTAGAGTTTCATTTGCTTCCATTTCATTATTTGCTACTCAGATGTAATAGTAATATATCTGGATCACAATAGTTAGCTATAATTATCAATAATAATTTTAAGTAGTATTGACTCCAATATGTGTTTAATGCTTTAAAATCAGTGTTGAGCCAAACCACACAAGACATTCTTATTTCATTTCTTATATAATTTATTAAAAATAAATAGCATATAAAAGGTAGGGCATATGAAGATCAGAATCATTTTCTGCCTGTGTGATAGTGCTTGAATAAAATACTCCTCTACTAGCAAGCTCTCATGAGTCCCGATTCTTGCCTGCGCGAATAATAAATTGGGATGAGGAGTCATTGCAGCTGAGGTAGTATGAAACTATCCTTCCCAGTCATCAAGCAACAATTCTGTCATGCTTCCCTTGCATCATTTGACATCCATGTCCTTGGTCCAGCATATAATAGAAATGTTAATAATTCTGAGTCTGTCTGACAAGTGTTTCACATCTGTATGCTGATCTCTGTTCACTGAGAGCAACATGTGTGGAAAACTTTCAGTCCCTACAATTTAGGTATTCATATGTGGTTGCTATCTCCACTCTATTTATGTGAATGAAAAATGTTTCTGGATGTGTGTCTATCTAACTCCACTGAAATCAATTTATTATAGATAAACTTTGTCTACGTAAGCTCCTGCACATCTAATATATGTTCATAGCAACATCGTAGTCTCTTTTCACATGGAGATCTGTTGAAATGAAGGAAATATGGATAGGGCAGGAAAGGAGAAGTCAATTTCTTTCCCTTTGTCTTACAATGATTCTCTTTGTCTTTTTAAAAATTGCTATTTATTGATAGCATTCTTCTCTTACAAAAATGTACAAATGTACACTTTTTTACAATGAATGTATATTTTTGTATGATAATTACAGAACAGGAAATTAACTATAGTTCTTAGGACATTATTAACTTGAAAATCCTATAATTTATAATGAAATATGTGATTTTACTATAACTTTTATAGGTTAAATTTTAATATTTCTGATTGGTGTCATTCAAAGGCTCTCAAGTTCAGAGGCCTCCAATTACAGACAAAGAACAAAGAACAGTTCTGGCATCAACACTTGGAATTATTTATTGCTTTATCTTATTTAAAATAGATTTTTTTAAAAAAAATAAAATAACTTTTTAAAAAAAACCAAATTGTTTTTTTAAAAACATCAGCTACTAAAGCTTAATTAGAAAATATATTTAAAACATACATTAAAGCATTATAGAAAACATATCGTGCTCATCATCTTTATGACAGCATCTTCTTTTCTTCAGCAAATGATGATTATTTTTCTTCAAATATGATAAAGTAATTTTCAAGCATGGAATGATGGAGTGGGGAAAAATAAATAGAAATATTAGATGGATGCTTCACAATTGAGGTAATATACATGTTCAATTAGAATGGGACTGATGGGAGGGAGAATAAAATCTCAAAGCTCAGCATCTTGACTACATAGCAATTTTTTTCACAATTTAAAATGCCAGGATATTCTATTTTACCAGTGACTCTTTCTCTTACACATCTTACTGTATTTCACATATCTTTTAATAACCTTTTTGAATGAAAGTTTATGAAATAAATTTCAAGATTATTTTCTGTAAGCTGATGATGTATGTTCTTTTCCTGAAGTTATATCAGAAAATCAATATTTTTAAAATTGAAACAGTATAGGTTTATATTGATCTATATGACTAAATCAAAACTACAGGCTTTGTAGCAGCTTTCTCAGACAGCTACCTACCTACCAGTGGCAACTATCAATTTTAGCTTTCTACTGATAAATCAGCTTGAAAATTGGATGTCAGATTTTTTTCAGTGAAGTAGTGATTTTTTGTATGCCCTTTAACCTTTTCTTATATATTAGATTGGTTTATAGGGCTAAGCTTACCTTCTGTAGCAAATTTGTTACAGAGAGAGAGGGAGAGAGAGAGAGAAGAAACTTTTGAATAGGAATATTTTCAGGAATGAAGTTCTAGAAAGAAATTTCATTTCCCATTTTACATTTACTTGTTGACTTAATATAAGTATTTTCAGATTTTCTCAAAAATGAACTTAATATTTTAGATATATTTGCATTTGATTCCCAATGTTTAAAATAAATTCTACCTTAAGATGGTAGAAAACATTGCTTTAATTTAATAAATTAAGACATCTTGTTTTTGTGATATTTAACAGTTCTAGCTACCAGTTACAATTACGAAGCAAGAGTTTCATTTGTTAAATTCATAAGTGTACTTCCTGTCCCAGTTTTTTTTTAAAAATGAGGCAAATAGCTCTATGTATCTTAGGTTAGAAATACAAATCTCTTCTGAAAGTAGTTGAATAGTATTTGTTGACTCTACTCCAAATCATAAGTTAACTTAGAATATTGATTAAGAATTCTTCAGTGGGATAATTATTTCTTGCTGGAGAAAAATGTGGCATGTATTGATCTAGATGGAAGTATTTCAGTTAGTTTCTCTTGGTTAATAGTGTCATCTATTAACAGTCATTATAAATAGTAACATAGAGGCACATTATAATTATTTTGTAATGAAATGATGAACTACTTTTATTCTTTTCTGAATCACTTTCACTCATATTTTACTAAACTGAACAGCCTTCTCTCCCTGATAGAACAAGCTTCTGTATTGCACTCCTGATCTACATTTAAATGTCTAGCCTTTTGAAACACAAAAATTAAAAATTTGCTACTAGACGTCTTGACATAATCATTCAACTGCCTATCTGTTTTGTGAGAGCTGAAA